CTCCTCCTCCTCCTCCTCCTCCTCCTCCTCGACCCCACTCCCTTCTAGCACTGATGATGTTTCCTAGTTGAGTAACAAAACATCTGCAAGAAAACAACCCGGCTCAGAGAGCACCCAGGATCTCACATTTCCACCCTGCTCCTCCCCATCTCTGCAAACCCCTCCCACTTTTAGCGAAGAATCAGGCAGAGACCAGAGTTTTCAACAGGGAAATTTTATTTGAGGGAGCCTCATTTCTGGAGAAAGGGCTTTGTCCAGCCTGAAGCAGCTGGCGGGAAGGTAGTCAGGAGCAGGGAGGCCAAAGAGGAACGAATGAAGCAACAGGGAGCCCTTCTCTGGCTGGGCTGGATGTGAGGATCCACGGCTGGTGAGGGGGGGAAGGGTTGCTTCCTGCTGGGTTCCTCCATCAGGTCTTGGGGCTCAGAGTGGGCCTGAGGAAAAAGCAGAGGAAAACTGAGGAGACACATCTCTGCTGGAATGGGGCTCCTTCCTCTTGGTCAGAATAAGGTCCCTGGGAGGGAATGCAGTGGGCCAGAGTCCCAAGAGGGAGGGGGGCATTCCAGAAGAGGAGGAGACAAGAGATAGACTGTGTGGGAGAAAGAGGGTGAAGACAGCCTCTCCTCAATAGTTCCCAGAATATATTGTGTATTCAGATAGCGGAGTCCTTAGCCTGGCAAGGTTTTGTCTACAAACAATACCCATCTTGGAAGAATCACTGTATGTCATTCCTGCTTTGGGGCCTGGACAGAGAGTGGCTGAGGAATTCTGGGAGTCCACACGTGGTGGCTGAGGGATTCTGGACTCTACACGTGATGTGATGGAATATTGTAAGGAGGTGGAATCATTAGAAGGACTGGGGCATCCCAGAAGAGTAGGAGACAATAGATAGTCTGTGTGAGAGAAAGAGGGTGAGGACAGCCTCTCCTCAATAGTTCCCAGAGAATACTGTGGATTCAGATAGTAGAGTCCTTAGTCTAGCAAGATTTTTATCTATGTGTGGGAAACAATAGTCAGCTTGGAAGAATCACCATGTGTCATTCTTGATTTGGGGCTGAGGAATTCTGGTAGTTCACACAGATTCTGAGTCTACACATGATGCGATGGAATATACTTAGGAGGTGAGATCATAAGAGGGAGGAATTCATTCCAGAGATGTAAAAGATAACAGATATGTTGTGTGAGAGAAAGAGGGTGAGGACAGCCTCTCCTCAATAGTCCCCAGAGAATATTATGGATTCAGATAGTAGAGTCCTTAGTCTGGCAAGGTTTTATCTATATGTGGGAAACAATTGTCAGCTTGGAAGAATCACCATGTGTCATTCTTGCTTTGGGGCCTGACAGAGAGAGGCTGAGGAATTCTGGGAATTCACATGGGATGTCTGAGGGATTCTGGAGTCTGCACATGATATGATGGAATATAGTTAGGAGGAGGGATCATAACAGGGAGGGGTGCATTGCAGAGGCGTAAGATATAACCGATACACTGTGTGAGGGAAAGAGGGTGAAGACAGCCTCTCCTCAATTGTTCCCAGAGTATATCTTTGGCATAGAGAGCAGGCTGCTTTAGCGTGGCAAGATTCTGTTTCTAGGTGTGGAACAAGAAAGAAACCTGCTCAGCTTTTGGAGCCTGAAAGAGCCACAGAAGGGAGTTTTGAGGAAAGGAATGGGGCTCTGTGGCCCCGTCAGTTCCTACGGGAACTCCTGAATATCAGGGCCACACCTGGGATTTCTTCACGCGTCTCTATATACTTTGCTCAGCAGGGGACAAGTGAGGGAGATCTCCCTAGGCCTCTGCAGCTCCGTGAGATCCTGGATTGGGAAACAGATTCCCGTTCTGGGTGTTAAGTGTCTTCCCTGCAGGGCCCCCTCCCTGCCTTGAGTAACCCCTCATGACCACTTAACTAGCATCCCAAACAGTCACTAAATTTGTCCCTTAATCTGAATTATTACCAAAATATTATCAAAATCCCCGAATCTGGGATATCTTGGGCAGCTGAAGGGTTTGCCCTGCAGGAGGAGCGAGGCCTGGTCGAGGAGGAAGAGCCAGTTAGGAAATGTGAAATGTAAATACATAAAGGAGGAACCTGCTGTGTGAGTTCCTGCTGTGACTCAAGGGATGGGTTTGCAGAGGAGACGAGCTCTTGGGGAAGGCTGTGGCTGCCCCTTCTTTTGTGGGCTTGAGGCGGGCTCTGGCAAAGCTCAGCCTCAGCGATTGCCAGGAAGGAAACCCCATGATGAGGGAGGAGGGGGCTTCACGGGCCACGAAGGGCTTGGAAACGAGATGGGAAAGAAGGAAAGTGGAAAGGAGAGAAGAGGAGAGGAGGGAAGAGGAGGGGAGAGAAAGAAAGAAAGAGAGGAAGAAAGAAAGAAAGAAAGGAAGGAAGGAAGGAAGGAAGGAAGGAAGGAAGGAAGGAAGGAAGGAAAGGAAAGGAAAGGAAGGAGGGAGGGAGGAAGGAAGAAAGGAAAGGAGGAAGGGAGGGTTGCAGGAAGGAAGGAAAGAAAGAAGGAAAGGAAGGAAGGAAGGAAAGGAAGGAAGGAAAGGAGGGAGGGAGGGAGGAAGAAAAAAAAAGAAAGAAAGAACGAAAGAAAGAGAGGAAGGAAGGAAGGAAAGTAGGAAGGAAAGAAGTAAGGAAGGGAAGTAAGGAAGGGAAGGAAGGAGGGAAGGAAAGGAAGGAAAGGAAGGAAAGGATGGAGGGAGGATTGCAGGCAGGCAGGAAGGAAGGAAGGAAGGAAGGAAAGAAAGGAAGGAAGGAAAGGAGGGAGAGAGGGAGAGAGAGGGAGGGAGGGAAAGAGGGAGGAAGGAAGAAAGGAAAGGAAAGGAAGGGAGGGAGGGAGGAAGAAAAAGAAAGAAAGAACGAAAGAAAGAAAGAGAGGAAGGAAGGAAGAAAGGAAGGGAGGAAGAAAGGAAGGGAGGGAGGAAGAAAGGGAGGAAGGGGGGAGGGAGGGAGGAAGGAAAGGAAAGGAAAGGAGGGAGGGAGGGAGGAAGGAAGGAAGGAAGAAAGGAAGGGAGGGAGGAAGGAAGGAAGAAAGGAAGGGAGGAAGAAAGGAAGAAAGGGAGGAAGGAAAGGAAAGGAAAGGAAAGGAAAGGAAAGGAGGGAGGGAGGGAGGGAGGAAGGAAGGAAGGAAAGAAAGGAAGGAAGGAAAGGAGGGAGGGAAGGAGGGAGAGAGGGAGGGAGGAAGGAAGGAAGGAAGAAAGGAAGGGAGGAAGGAAAGGAAAGGAAAGGAAAGGAAAGGAAAGGAGGGAGGCAGAGAGGAGGTCTAGCTGTCTCTAGCTCAGCTGCAGGACCTCCCCCTTACCTGGGGGGAAGCACTCCCTGGCCCATCCAGCTGGGCAGCATTTCTTGTCCCCTTCGCAGTCGGAGTCCCAGACACACTTCTGGTCACAGTGATAGTCAGGAGGGACTTTCACCAAGGGACACTCGCCCGGCTTGACTGGAAAAACAGGAGAGGCACACTGAGATGGGTCCAGAATGAAGGACCCTGCTTGCTGCTCTCCAGCCCCCTGCCCAGCTTGTCTGTTAAACGTTCATTGCTTGGTGTTGGATTTCCCCTTGTTGCGTCCCAGGATGCAAACAATTAAACACATTGTACAAGACAGCCCACAACAACGTTGCTTTCTCTGGTTCCCTAGAAGACCCACACAAAGCAACGCCAGAGGCCATCGCCTGGAGAGCTGAATGAGGTCACTGTCGTACGTAACCCCTGAGATGTTTTCTAGGTAATTTCGTGGAGTGTGTGTATACGTTTACTTCTCTTTGTCATGTTTTCATCTTACGCAAACTAAATAATTGTGTGATGTTTGTGATTCTATTGTTGTGTTTGTGTATAGGAGCCCTTGCTCCTTCATCCCAGAAAATGACCCCCAGTATGGACCTGACCCACTTCCTTCTCATTAGTGCACCTCATTTTCAGTCTTTGCCTTCAAACTGATGGGAGACCCCTGACCTTTTGTATGATTAGGAGGACCCTCAGCTGGGCATGGGTGTCTGCAAGGCCTGGTCAAAAAAGTAAAAGAAAAACAACAACAGGATGAGTTCACTCAAACTCTTGGCTACCATCTTGATTTTTCTCCCACTATGCCGTCAGGGAACAGCGCAGCAAGTATCCAAATGAAGTCAGAGATGCTGATACAAACTTGTAGTTTTATATAAATAAATGTATTTTACATCAATATTCACAGCAAACAAGACAGCCAGGCTAGCAGGAGCATCATGAGGTAAATCAACACAGGAACATCATTGTGAGGTAAATCAACATAGGATCATCATCATGAGGTAAATTACAGAGCACACAGAACACACAGGAGAAAAAGGCGGGAAACAAGGAAACTCCCCCTTTTACCCACAGCAACCAATCACAGCGCAGATTGCCTCACGCAGGAGCCAGCTCTCTCCAACGGATCAGCTGTAACTGTGTGTTCTCACTCATTCATTATACAACTCCACCGTTCCAGTTGCTAGATTTAAATATCTTTAACACATATCCCCCACAGACCCCCAGATGTTCTCTTTTCTGTAAATCTGCTTTGCTAGACCATGAAAAGTTGACGTGCACCATAAACTGGTGACCCCCATCTACACAACACCGCTTCTCCTCTCAGTTCTTATGGAGACGCGTCTAAAGACATTGTCTGAAGACCCCAGATTGGCTGCATGGTTGCAAAGAAAGGAGGAGGCATTTGACAAAGTTTCTTACCTCATGTCCTACGTCCTGGGTGAAAAGGAGGTACACTAGATATGGGCTTACAAATTCTGGGAACTATTTTGGACTCTTTCTTGATCACTTTCTTTTGCTATCATCTAGCTCAGGGATAGGCAACCTTGGCTCTTTTATGACTCGTGGACTTCAACTCCCAGAATTCCTGAGCCAGCCATGCTGAGGGGAAAGGGAGAGGTTTCCAAGCTGAGCCAGGCTGGCTCAGGAATTTTGGGAGTTGAAGTCCACGAGTCATGAAGGGGTCCATAGTTCCCCCATGCTGGCTCAGGAATTCTGGGAGTTGAAGTCCACCAGTCATAAAAGAGACAAGGTGGCCTACCCCTGAGTTACTAGGAAGATGAGGGGACTTCAACTCCCAGAATTCCTCTGCCAGCATGGCACCCTATATCAGGAATAGGCAATCTTGCCTCTTTTATGACTCGTGGACTTCAACTCCCAGAATTCCTGAGCCAGCATGGCTCAGCTTGGAAACCTCTCCCTTTCCCCTCAGCGTGGCTGGCTCAGGAATTCTGGGAGTTGAAGTCCACGAGTCATAAAAGAGCCAAGGTTGCCTACCCCTGAGCTAGCTATTGTGCTTTGTTTCTGCTTCATGCAGATAACCTGCTTGCTATTAAAAAAGATCCAAGGACATATGTCATTGTGAAGCAACCAAAAGCTTTATGATTTCCATCCAGGTGAGCATTAAGCGAAGGCATTTGATGCCCACCTCCTCTGAAATTAATGGGATTATGCCCACCCAGAGTGTATGCAATGAGTAGGCCATTACCTTCCGCAAAGGAAGAAGAAAAAGCAGGCTTCGGGTGGACTAGCTGCAATTCCATGTTAGCCAAACTAAAAGTATTCTTAGTGAGAGGTTCAAAGTCCTGGATTGAGCAGAGGTGTGGGAGACACCCTCAGGCTTACCTTTTGGGGGACAAAGTTGTTTTGTGGTCTTTGCTGTTGTCAGTTGAGTAGAAAGGACGAGGAGACCAGCTAGGAGTAGAAGAATCCAAGGTTTCATGATGCAGCTGAAATCCAACTTGCAGTGGCAGCAAGAATTCTTCCTCTCAACTGTGCATTTCTAATTTCACTTGGACGGGAGTAATTCTGCAGGGAGGGTCAGGTGTTGCAACATCTAATGACAGTTTGCTGGCATGCTGTGTGCAAGAAAGGGGTGTATACAGGAGAGGAGATTGTTGCCTGAGGCTGACTAGAACTTGCTGTTGGTCAATCTGGCTTTGGCCAATCTCTTGATCTTCCTTGTTCTGTGGCTTCCATGTCAGCTTTGCATGTCAACATGCTCCACCCCAAGGAGATGTAAGAGAGAGGAGCAAATTTACAGTTACCGCAATAGTGGTTGAAGCTCCTACACTACTGGATCATGATGGTTTGGTGCTGGCCTTCAGCACCAGTTGAGTTGTGCTTCAAACGAAGTGGGGATGGGGTGGGGAATCCAGAGCAGGTAGAAGCCCCCCAACTCTGGAGAGCTACATTCTTTCTGGGCCAAAGAACATGCTCAGTTATCTTGACCTGAAGGGACCAGTTGTGTCTTCCTATCCCTTTCTTACTGAGGCCACAGAGGAGACTAATGTCTTGCAAATGAAAGTAGCTGCTTGGAACCATGGATGGAAACCTGCTTGTGGAGTCTTGCAAGCAGACATGAGGCTGTACACCATAAGAGCAGTGTTTTATGTTGGTTTGATTCAGCTGCTCTGGTGGTCTCAGGGATAAGAGTCTTTTAAGACAGACAAGGAGACTGTAGGAGAAGACCAGGCAGAACTGGAAGGTGGAGTTAAATGCACAATCAGTTTAGAATCATTGCATTCCCATAAATGATCCAAGTCCAGCACCCCTTGAATTTTACTGACCCTCATCTAGCACCAATTCAGTACTGATCCTTAGTTGACTAGATTCTTGTGTACAGGCTATAATAATAGAATCCCTGTGCTTAAATTCAACATATTTAAGTGACATGATAGCAGTGTTCCAGTATCTCAGAGGCTGCCACAAAGAAGAGAGGGTCAAACTATTCTCCAAAGCACCAGAAGGCAGGACAAGAAGCAATGGACGGAAACTAACCAAGGAGAGAAGCCACCTAGAACGAAGGAGAAAATTCCTGACAAAGCAATTAACCATTGGAAGGGCTTCCCTCCAGAAGTTGTGGATGCTCCAACACTGGAAATTTTCAAGAAGAAATTGAACAACCATTTGTCTAAAATGTATAGAGTCTCCTCTTGAGCAGAGTGTTGGACTGGAAGACCTCCAAGCTTCTAACTCTGTTGTTCTGTTATTCTGAAGTATCCTGCTTCTTTGGACTTGATAGAGACCCTGCAATTCACCACATGAAGCCATTATTTGCAAGAAAGAAGACCCAGAAAGATATAAATCCTTCCACTCTCCACCATTCAGTCAGAACTGAAGAGGCTTCTTGGATGAGAAGCAAAATGTCTTCAAGAATATGCTTAAGTCCAGTTGCATTTTGGAAAAAAAAGTAGCTTTGGAACCCAGAAATATTGATGTTTCAGTGATTAAAATCTCAAAGTTTCTTTGCGGTTATCACAGGGGAACAGATCCAAAAGAAGCAAGTGAAAGGTTCATTTCACCTGGTTGCAGGTGTGTGGAGCATGAGTAATTTCCCTACTGATAGGGAAATTCTATTCTATTCTATTCTATTCTATTCTATTCTATTCTATTCTACTCTACTCTACTCTACTCTACTCTACTCTACTCTACTCTACTCTACTCTACTCTACTTTACTCTACTCTACTCTACTCTACTCTACTCTACTCTACTCTACTCTACTCTATTCTGTTATTATTCTATTCTATTCTGCTCTGCTCTGCTCTATTCTATTCTATTCTATTCTATTCTATTCTATTCTATTCTAGTCTAGTCTAGTCTAGTCTAGTCTAGTCTAGTCTAGTCTAGCCTTCTTTCCCTTGGACCTCTTAGCTGGAGAAGGTCTTGAGGTTCATATTCTGCATTCTTGGGTGAAAAAACAAGTTGGATATTAACTTTTAACTATTTGCGCCTTTCCATAAGCACATTCCTTCACTATTGTCTAGCTGGTGCATTTTGTACCTGTTTGAGGTATGTACCTGTTTGCTGAGAAATTAAAAAGGCGAAGAATGTGTGTTTTTGTCATGCAGTTGACGCCCAGGAAGCGTGACCAATAAACAGAGGCAACTGGGGGGTGGTCCAGCTTTGGCAAAAGTGTTGGGGATTGTGCCCGTTCAAAACACATACAATGGATAGCCCAATTCCTCTGGGGGCAGGAGGAAGAACATACTGGCTCCAGGTGGATGGTGGAATGTCCCATAGATAAGTTAGAAAGAGGGTTGTTCTTTAATGGCTGAGAGAGAGGAACTAGGAAAGGGTTTCTCACTGTCATTTCACCAAAGAGTGTTTTTGGTCATGACAGAAAAATAACACACTAGCTGAAGTCCCCAGAGAGTTTTCAAGGATAATCTTGTGTTAGGAGAATTACAGGGATCCCAGTCAGAAGATGATCATGAATGAAACTCTTCAGTGCCTCCTGCTCCAGATGAGATGGCTCCAGACAAAAGCTTCCACCCTGCTCTTCCAGAAGAATCCAGGTATTTTGAGCCAGGTCCTCAAAGAGAAGTAGGTTGTATGTCTAGCTGAACAAAGAGAAGGGCTAGGAATGACATAATAGAAGTCTTTCAGTACTTGAGGGGCTGTCACAGAGAAGAGAGGGTCAACCTGTTCTCCAAAGCACCAGAAGGCAAGACAAGAAGCAATGGATGGAAACTAATCAAGGAGAGAGACAATCTAGGAGAAATTTCCTGACAATGCAGAACAATTAATGAGGGGAACGACTTGCCTTCTGAAGTTGTGGGTGCTTCATCACTGGAGGCTTTCAAGAAGAGACTGACAGCCATTTGTCCAGATTAATATAGGCTCTTCTGTTATGGGCAGAGAATTGGACTAAAAGACCTCCAAGGTCTTTTAGAACCCCATTACTCTATGTTCTATAGTCTACAACTCTATTGATGCTATGCAACTGAGGCATTCACAGTGGTGAAGCTGGTGACCACTATGGGATGACCATCTGCCTGTCTCATTTGCATGTATGTTGATCTCTAGATGACCCAAAATGGAATGGATTGTTAACATTTCAGAAGGCCAACTTGAACATCAGACCTAACAAAACATGGTTCAATTCCAGGAACTCCTCTACTTTGGGTTTTCTGTGTAAGCTACCCAGAGATGTGAGGCTACAGTCATAAATCATACAAATAATATGAAAAAGTAGATGTTTAGGTACAAGATAGGTCATACTTGATTCATCAGTAGTATTAGTAAGAAGAATCTGAGTGTTTTGGTAGACCGTTAATTATGAGCCAATACTCTGCAGCCATTGCCAAAGCCAATGTAAAATTGAGATGCATCAAGAGCAGTTATAATATGAAGACTGCTATTGTGTTCCCCATGGCTCTCCATGGTTGGGAAAGTTGGACCTTAAAATATCAAGACAGGAGAAAAAATTGACTTGTCTGAACTTTGGTGCTGGAGAAGGCTTCTGCATATTCCCTGGACAGTAAAGTGACTAACAAACAAGTACGGAAGCGCATAATACCAGACGTGTCACTGGAAAGCAAAATCATAAAGCTGGGTCTCACTTATTTTGGGAATGTGGGAATTCCCTAGAGAAAGCAATTATATTGGGAAGAGTTTGCAGTAAAAGGAACCCAGGCCACAGAGAACACGATGGCCGGACACCCTCAAAGCTGACCCCAGCCAGAACACACAGAACGACTCAGGGAAGTAGGACAAGATCAGAAGATGTGAAGAGACCTGGCCCAGAGAATCGCCAAGAGTCAGACAAGACTGAATGGATATTGTCATCATCGTCATCATCATCAATGTGAACATTTTCCTCTTGGCTCCACTGCTGGGGCCACCCCTGAGATCCTATGTCCAGTTCTGGTCATCACAATACAAGAAGGATGCAATGGACCTGGAAAGAGTGACAAGGATGGTGAAGGGCTTGCAGCTAAATCTTGTTGGTAGTTGTGAAGTTGTGTCCGACCCATCGCAACAATGTTTCTCCAGGTCTTCCTGTCCTCTACCATCTTCTGGAGTCCATTTAAGCTCACTCCTACTGCTTCAGTGACTTCATCCAGCCCCCTCCTTCTCTGTCATCCCCTTCTTCTGTTGTCCTCCATCTTTCCCAGCATCAGGCTCTTCTCCAGTGAGTCTTTCCTTCTCATTAGGTGAGCTAAATCTTAGAACATAGAACAATAGAGTAGCAGGGGATTTTGGAGGTCTTCTAGTCCAACCCCCTACTCGAGTAGGAGACCCTCTACCATTTCAGATAAATGGTTGTTCAGTCTCTTCTTAAAAACCTTCTGTGATGGAGCATGCCCACAACAATCTGTTTCACTGGTTAATAGTTCTCACTATTAGGAAGTTTTTCCTTAGTTCCAGGTTGCTTCACTCCAAGAGCAGTGAAAAGGAACTTGGTATGTTTAGCCTACAGAGGAGAAAGTTGAGCCGAGACGTAATAATAGTCTTCCGATACATGAAAGGAAGAGCAGACAGTGTGATTTATTCTCCATAATGCCTGAGGGCAAGACAAGATAAAGAACCAACAGGTGAAAGTTTACAAAAGGAGATCCAGAAATAATACCTGCCTGTGGCCACCGTCTTTATTTTTCTTCTTTCCTCCCTCTGTGAATGCTGCTATCCTGGGTTTATACGAATGATGAATAAACATCTATTCTATTTTGACTGGGTTAAATCTGAGGCTCTTTTCCTTCGTCTAGACCAGGGTTCTTCAAACTTGGCCCTTGTATGACTTGTGGATTTCAACTCCCAGAATTCCTCAGCCAGCGATGCTGGCTGAGGAATTCTGGGAGTTGAAGTCCACAAGTCATACAAGGGCCAAGTTTGAAGAACCCTGGTCTAGACCCTGATAGTGTCCAGAAGCAGGCATCAGCTCAGGGTGGAAATAAATGATTGTCAGCACTATGTTGATGATGCCTGGATCCTAAGCTGGTGCTTGACCTCTTTCAGTGGAGAGGGAAAGGACCAAGTCCTTGGATCTCCATCATGGATGGCTGAGAGCCCAACTTCCT